CCCCCCCCCCCTCCATTCCATGGAGATGGACTGACAGGCGGGGTTTTTGTTTTTATTTTAAGAAGTTCACACAGCTTTCCCACCTCTGTCCCAGCACTGGTTCTGGTGACTTCATCCCTGATCCCCTGTGAATGACAATGACCAGCAGGCCAGAAGGGAGGCCAGGCCCCAGGGCAGGAGGAGGCCTATAGCTTGAGGGCCACCTCTGGCTCCACTGCTGTCCCAGGGCCGTGGTGGCTGCAGTGAGGCAGGGGGAGGGAATGTGGGCAGGGGGCCAGGAAGCACCTCCGCCCTCGTGGCACTGATAAGGAGCAGGACAGGTGCGGCACAGGCTGTGACGAGGCGTCTATACGGGGCGTCTATACGTGTCAGATACAAGTGATGGGTGGGGCCAGGGTAAGCTGTGTTCATCCCCGGGAGCCGTGGCTTCAGGCCCTTCCGTGTGCACAGAGTAGAACCGGGGGTGGGGGGCTGCATTCACCCCCCACCCACCCCCCAAGATATATATGTATGGCGATATATAATATAGAGGTATATACACCTGTACAGAAAACGTTTGCCACCAACCACTAAATGGTTACACTACACCAAGACACTAAAATGGCAGGAGCCCCCCTCCCGGGAAGCCTGGGTCGGTGGTGTTGGCATCACGAGGGTGGTGAGGTAGAGGCCCAGCCAGTTCCTTCCCTTGCAGGGAAGGGGAAGGGAAGGAAGGACATGCACCCCTTGCCCTGCCTCAGCCTCGCCTCCTGAGCAAACTGCAGCAGACAGGTGCACCCCGACCTCACAAAAGGAGGTCAAATAGAAGCCCCTGGTCCATCCAGGTCTCCGAAACCCCAGGTTGGGACCCAGAGCTGCTTCTTGGAAGCTCTTCTCCTTGGGGAGCCAGAGCCAGGTGTGGGGACACCCTCCTCCGGCCTCCCACGGAGGGGAAAGCAGGGCCTGTGATTGTCAGGACTCATGACCACGTGGAGAGGCTGCATCACGCAGGAGAGCGCTGAGCTCCCTGGAGTTCCCGAGGTCTCCGACTTTCCAGCCCTCCCAGCCCCCGGCTCTGCAGCCCCAGAGCTACAAGCAGGAATCCCAGTGTAGCTGCAAGTCGTGGCCGTCGAGGAAGTCCGTGGAGAAGAGGCTGGGGGCTGTGGTGCTCGGGGCCATGCTGAGCACCGGCCCGCCCGACGACAGCTCCAGCCAGTCCATGCCGTCCAGGTGGCCATCAGCCAGGTCCAGGCCCACACCACTGGGCTCAGGCGCAAAGTGCAATTCCGAAGTGTCCATGGGAGAGGGGGGGTGGTCCAGGATGGCAGAGCTGCTCAGCATCTGGCTGTGGAGGTCGTCGATGAGGGAGAGGGGCTCTGGCCCCTCGTGCCCGCCGGTCAGCAGGGGCAGCCCTGTGCTGCTCTCCAGGAAGTCCTCCAGGCGCCCAGGGAGGGCCGGCGAGCCGGATGGAGGCGGGACAGCCTGAGGGAGCTCGGCGGACGGCGACGGCTGTGCGTCCAGGGGTGACCCGCAGGCTGCTGTCGGGGGGGACTTCTCTTTCCCCGGCTCCTTGAAATCTGCTGAGATCTCTGCCAATCAAGAAAGTGAATGGGTGTCTGACACCAGCCTGACGATGACCTGCAGTTGGGACCCCGCCTTACACCACATACAAAAAATAACTCAAAATGGGTCAAAGATCTAAATTTAGGAGCCAAAACTACAAAACTCTTACAAGGGAACATCTTCATGACACTGGATTTAATGATTTCTTAGTTATAACACCAAAGGCACAAGCAATGGAAGAAAAAATAAACGACTACATAACAATTTAAAACTTTTGCACATCAAAGGTCACTATCAAGACTGAAAAGACTGCACAGCAACTATACTTCAAAAAATTCAAACAAGTAAGATAACCCATGGAATGGGAGAAAAAAATCTGTAAACTATCTGATAAATGATATCCAGAATAAAGAACTAGAACTCAACAAAATCCAGCCGAAAAGTGGACAGACATCTCTCCAACAGACGATATTCAAGTGGCCTATAAGCTCGCGAAAAGATGCTCGACGTTATTAGGCATTAGGGAAATGCAAGTCAAAACCACAGTGAGATATGTGACTTCACAACTACGAGGCTGGCTATTATCAAAAAACTTTCTTGAGAAAAAGAGTTGGTGAGGATGTGGAGCAACTGGAACGCTTGTGTGTTGCTGGTATGAATGAAGATGGCACAGCTGTGTGGAAAACAGTTCTGTGGTTCCTCAAGAATTAAAATACAGAATATGACCATATGATCTAGCAAGTCCACTTCTGGGTATGTACCCCCCAAAGAACTGAAAACAGACTCAAACAGATACCAGTGTTCATACAGCATTACTCACAATGGCCAAAAGGTAGCAACAACCCAAATGTCCAGTGGATGAAGGGCTGAACACAATGTGGTACATACACACGATGGAATACTCTTCAGCCACAAAAAGGAAGGAAATTCTGATACAAGCTACAACATGGAAGAACCTTGAGGACATTACGCTAAGTGAAGCCAGCCAGAAACAAAAGGACAAATAGTGTATGATTCCACTTAGGGAAGGTATCTAGAATAATCAATTCACAGACAGGAAGGAGAAGAGAGGTTACGGGGGCACAAGGGGGGACGGAGGAATGGGGAATTAGTGTATAAACGCCTGACCAGCTGTCTCCCACAGCCCCAGCCTCTTCAACCCGCTTCAAGCAGGCTCTGGCCATGGCCCCTCTGCAGCACCCTGGCTGATGTCACCAGCTGCCACCACAACACAGCCCGGGACCGGATCTTGGTCCTCCTCTTTCCTGACCGCCCATCAGCAGCCCATGGCCTCAGGATGTCATCCTCTCAAGGGCGCACTCCCACCCTCCACCCGCTGCTCAGCTTCATTGGCTTGCGCCCCTGCCTCCACCTCGCCCTCTCTGCTCGCCCTGCCTCACTGCTCCAAACGCCCCCCACCCTCACCCCGATGCCAACAACTCCCCAACTCCTGACTCAGCCCAGACCTTGCCTGGGCTGGCCATGTGGCCCTCCACTCAGCTGTCTAGGGACTGAGGCTGTGACCGACGCGGCTCCCACTCGCCCCGGCCCACACCCCCTGCGCTCATGCTGCCGCACCCAGTAACTCCCCACACCCTTGGCCTCATCCTTGGCTGCCCTGGGGTCCCCTCGCCACACACCTAAGCCATGAGGAAACCATACTGGCGCTCTCTCCAAGATACACCCAGGTTCCAGCCCTTCTGCGCTTCACCGCTGCCTCCCGGCCCACACACCCCGCTCACGCCTGGACCACCGCGCCTGCCTCCCTGCTCCTGCCCTTCCAGCGGGGCAACGCTTCCCTCAAAGCTGTGCCATGGCTTCCAGCGTCACCCAGAGCCCATGGGCTTCCGCCCAGCGCCCACCCACCCCCCGCCCCACCCCCGGGTGCCCGTCAGCCCTGCAGGCTCAGGAGCTCCCCATGGACGCCTGTGGCTAAACTGCACCTGCCCGGCGAGGCTGACCCCGACACCCCTCGCACCTGCGACCCTTCCCGTCCTGGCTTTTCCTAATACCTGTCTGACACACGATAATTTACTTATTTCATTCACCATTCATCTCCCCATGCTGGGCTATAAGTCCCGCCGAGGCAAACGTCTCTCTGGCTCACTGCTACGCCCTGGGCTGCGGGCACGGCGCCGGCCACGCAGCAGGTCAGGGTGAGGCATACGTGGGTCGAGGACGGCACCCCAGGGAGTCCCTGCCCAGGCCTTGGAGAAGGGACGCGTCTCACACATTACCGCATCCAAAGCACCAGGCCTGCCGGGCATCGTGTTCAAGAACGAAACCAAACCCAATAACCAACCAGCCTAGGAAAGGAGACAACTTGTGAAGAAAGGAGGAGGTCGGGGAGCAGAGCGGTGGGCCTGGACTTTACCTCCACTCTGAATCAGAATGTCGAACAGGTCATCCATCTGCTGGCTTGAGGAACCATTTTCCTGTGGCGCAGAAATAAGAAAATGAAATGGAAGTCTAGAACAAGAGGCCCCCCAGCCTGGCTCAGGGCACAGACCCTACCTTGTGGCCCTGAGCCAGCAGCCAGGCCCACAGAGCCGGGCGGCCTGCGCTCAGGCTCCCGGAGCCCACACTCACTCCTGCCCGATGGCTTCTCTCCAAGGCGCCTCTGAACTGCGAGGCTGGCTCCTGCCTGCCCCACCCTCCAGCCAGGCCCGGGGGACTGTGGGAGCCGAGCCCAGCCCAGCCCAGCCCAGCCCAGCCCAGCCCAGCCCAGCCGCTGAGGCGGCCGCCCACCCAGCCAGGCCCCGGTCCACCCTCTTTACCTGCTGTCTGGGCTGCTGGCTCACAGCTTCCTCATAGCCAGGCGGCTCCTTCTTCGGCAGAGAAGTGGGGGTCCCAAAAAGGGGCTGTGGCGGGGGGGCCCGGGGCCCCTCGCGTC